CTTATAAGGGAAGTCAATGGGTTAGTTTCGATGATGCTGATTCGATACGGCGGAAAGCTCAGTTTGTCAGAAACATGAATCTTGGAGGAGGAATGGTCTGGGCATTGGATCTTGATGATTTTAGAGGACGATGCGAAGAAGGATCTCATCCACTCATGCATACGCTTCAAGAAGTACTCTCTGAGCCACCTAATCAATATGACAAACGTACGTATTTTTATTTCATTATTTGTTATTATTGTCTTCTTCATTGTGTTTGTACTTTGACGATCATACAGCAATCAAGCCACCAGCTATTGGAAGTGAATTAGAATGGAAGATACCTGTTACTTCGGAGATTACTTCAACGCCAATTTCTACAACATTAATGGAAGTTGAAACTATTGCACCTGTGCATACCACTTCAATAATACCTGATGATGGAAAAGGATTTAAAGTTGTTTGTTACTTCACTAATTGGGCATGGTATCGACAAGAAGGTGGAAAATTCCTTCCAGAGGATATAGATGGTGATCTATGTACACACATCATTTACGGCTTTGCTGTTCTCGATGGTTCCAGCTTAACAATAAAGACTCACGACAGTTGGGCCGATATAGATAACAGTAAATATATTCTATTCAAATATAGAAGTTTGTGTAAGAAAAAAAAAACAATTTTTTTTTATTTCATAACAATTCCTTTTTTATTATAGAATTTTATGAAAGGGTAGTCGCTTATAAATCAAAAGGTATCAAAGTATTGCTAGCTATCGGAGGATGGAATGATTCAGCAGGTGACAAATACAGTCGTCTAGTAAATTCACCTAGCGCTAGGCAAAAATTCACATCACATGTTTTACAATTCCTTGAAAAATACGGTTTCGAAGGACTCGATTTAGATTGGGAATATCCTGTTTGTTGGCAGGTACTTTCTTGCGTAAACGCAATTTAATAAATAATCATTCCAAACAAGGTGTTATTTGCATGTGTTATATTCTAGGTCGATTGTAAAAAGGGTCCAAAATCTGATAAAGAAAGCTTCGCACTTTTAGTACAGCATTTAAGTGAAGTCTTTAAACCAAAGGGTCTATTGTTATCCGCAGCTGTTTCGCCAAGTAAACGAGTTATCGATGCTGGCTATGACGTAGTTTTCTTAGCAAAATATTTAGACTGGATATCCGTTATGACGTACGATTATCATGGCCAGTGGGACAAGAAAACCGGTCATGTAGCTCCACTGTATGCACTTCCTAGTGATTGGGAGCCTACTTTCAATGCCGTATGTTTTCTAACTTCTATAAATGTCTAATAATTATCATAAATTTTTATGAAAACTCAAGCGTCTTTTCTTTTTATAGAACTTTTCAGTTCATTATTGGTTAGAACAGGGTGTACCTCCGAAAAAATTAGTAATGGGTGCACCTATGTATGGTCAATCCTTCTCTTTGGCAGAAAGAACTCAAAGAGGATTAAATGCACCAACATATGGAGGTGGAGAAGCAGGCGAAGCTACAAGAGCAAGAGGTTTCTTATCATATTACGAAGTATGATCCTCTTATTCCTATATAATTACATTATCGTAGTCTTCATGATTGTGCATCTTACAAATATATAATTTTTTATTTTCCATCTTTTCAGATCTGTGAAAGAACCTTAAAGAAAGGTTGGTCGGTAGTTCAAGATAGTCGGAGACGTATCGGACCCTATGCTTATTACGGGGATCAATGGGTTAGTTTTGACGATGCGAAACAGATCAGAATTAAAGCAGAATTAATAAAAAAACTTGGTCTTGGAGGTGGCATGATTTGGGCATTGGATCTAGACGATTTCAAGAATAGATGTGGCTGCGAACCTAGTCCTTTGTTAAGGACAATGAATAGAGTTTTGAGAAACTACCCTGAAGGACCACTTTGTCCAGTAGTATCAGGTTTGTATTTTTACCTTAAAATATAATAATAATTTAGGGACGATATTTTTTTATTTTCCATTGGTGCAGAAACCACTTCCATTGATATTGATCAATCTACCACGCAAACTATAAGCACTTGGTGGCCGACCGAGTCCACATCTACATCTCGGCCAAGCTATTTGCCACCCGCAACAACAACAACAATGACAACAACTACTGGAGAATTGGACATATCATCCGAAGAAAATGATACTGTTGAAATAATAGCAGGTCCACCTCCAGCAGGTATTGGACCTTTAGGTAATTGTGGTGATAAATTGTTTATACCACACAAGAATGATTGTGCGAAGTATTATCTCTGCAATTTTGGTAAACTTTCTGAGCGTTCTTGTCCTAATGGACTTTACTGGAACGACAATCGATGCGACTGGCCGGAAAATAGTAAATGTAAAAAGGGACAGAGACAACGTCAGGTACACACATGAACTTATCAATTCAAACTAACATAGAACTACGAAAGCATTGTGTAATCAATCAATATTGTATCAAGTTTTAATATCTAATAATTATATTATATCATTCCCGTACACGTTTTTTTTTTCAGACAAGTGATGCATTCATGGCTTTATCCCTTAGCGAGAAGAACTTAAAGAAAATCGTTTGTTACATAACAAGTTGGGCTCAGAAAAGACAAAATGTGGAAAGATTTATTGTACAAGATTTAGATTTAGATCTCTGTACACACGTCATCTACGGGTTTGCAATATTAGACGACGAAAGTTTAACGATAAAAATGCCGGACTCTTGGGACACAAAAGATGAAAAATTCTTGAGAGATATGATATTGTTTAATGCTCAATCTTCGAATCCTGCTAAGATATCGATCGCTTTAGGAGGTTGGAAAGATTCTCAGGGCGACAAATATAGTAAAATGGCGAGTGATTCGGCTAATAGGAGGAAATTTGTCGATAGCGTAATTAAATTCTTGAACAAATATAAATTCGATGGTCTTAATCTCATTTGGGAATATCCAGTATGTTGGCAGGTAAATCCTTCTAATATAAACAATAAATAATAAATCAGATTGAACAAAAACGAACGGGTATGAATGTAAAAGGGATATGAATTATAGGTAAACTGTAGCAGTGGACCTAAGAGCGATAAATTAGCCTACGTCTATCTTCTTCGAGATCTTAAAACGGCACTGAAACCTCGACGATTACTTTTGTCAGCCGCAGTTTCATCAAATAAAAAAGTGATTGATCTTGCTTACCAAGTTCCATTACTTTCTGAATATCTTGATTGGATCGATGTTATGTCCTATGACTATCATGGTTATTGGGAAGGTCAAACTGGCCACGTGGCACCATTGTATCATTGTTCAGCTAACGAAGATCAATATCTGAATGTAAAATCCAGTTTGAAATATTGGATTGAACAGGGTGCATCTTCGGAAAAACTTATCCTAGGTATCCCAGCATACGGACAATCATTCACTTTGTCCAAAAATGCATCACCATTGACTGGAAGAAGTTCTAATTTCTTTCCTTTGAAGTCTTCCGGACCTGGACATGCTGGAAAATTCACGAAAGTCCCAGGATTTCTTTCTTATTACGAAGTAAGTATTACATTGTAAGCTCGGCATCATTGAAATTCCACAGTAATACTCGTTATGGATAAGATAATGTTTGTCATTAATTCTATAGATAGTAACATTGAATTTTTTTTGTCATCATTTTGTCTACGAAATGCAAATTTTATATATCGCAATTTGTTTTTTTTCTTTTTTTACTGTAGATATGCGATAACGTGAAAAATGCTAAATGGAACGTAACCAAAGATACAGAACGTTGTGTTGGTTCGTATGCAACGAAGGATGATCAATGGGTCAGTTATGATGACGTATCAAATGTATTCAAAAAGGTATGGCAAAATAACGTATTAACACAAATATTAGCTTTAGCATGTAAAAGTGTTTAAATTAACTTTCTGTTCTTTCGACTTTTCTTTTTTTTCTTTTTTTTTTTACAGGCCGATCTTATAAGAGAATTAAATCTCGGCGGAGGATCAATATGGTCGCTTGACTTGGACGATTTTTCCGGAAATTGCGGCTGTGGAAAATATCCTCTATTGGCTGCATTAAATCGTGGGCTAGTTCAAGAAAAACTACAAATGGAGGATTGTACATGAATAGAAAATCTTGGGTGCAGCACTTGGGTTTATTCTTACAAAAAACTTGAAGATTTCTATGGCGTGCAATGGCACTAACGTTGAGATAGAGTATTATCTATCTTTCTTTGTCTTTCATTTTTTCTTATCCAGATTGCACGTTCTCATAATGAAATAATATTCGACATTATAAAAAGTAAATGAATTAGCAAACTTTTCCGAGGGACACATTTCTAATTTCATTCATTTATTCGTTCGTCCATTCATCGTTTATTCATTCATTCGTTCAATGTTCTCAAATATTTCAATTGTGTCGCTTGAGAAAACTTTGACATTAATAATATAAAACAAATTGTCTATGTATTTTCGTAATATTTTCTTTTAAAAAATGTGTCAATGTAGGTATTTGTGATATGTAAAAAATAATTAAAATGTTACATTAAATACGCTCAATGATAATGTAAAAAAAAAAAAAAACAAAACTATTAATTCATTCAAGGCTGCTAGATAATAATCTAACTTTGTCTAAAAAAAAAAAAGAAATGAAGAAAAAAGAAAAAGAGCAAAAATAAATAGAAAGTAATAGAAAATAAATCTATAATGATTCGTCGTAAATAATAATATGATCGAATCAATAAAGGAATAAATATAATTATACGAATTCACACTTTTGTATACGTACAATACAAATACTTGTATATGTATACAAACATTTTAAATGATACAAAATATATTTACAATATATGTTTATTATTTACAATTTCGTAAATATCGTACATTTAAAATATTTGTATATCCTATATTGTAATGTGAACTTACGCATACGTAATAAATAATTATAAATAGAATTGATGTAACAAAACTTTGATATTATAATTCATGAAGTAGGTTGATATAACTTGGATAAAGTAACACAACTAAGCGTTGTTGGCTGTCGTATTTGTACTTTTGTCGTCGAAGGACGTTCACCAGTTCACGTTCCATTCAGTTTAGTACGCGACTGGATGTTTAAACGAAAGCTAGCTGTCAGCGAATAGCCTTTTTAAAACATACTTTTTCTTTGTCTCTTTGTCTCTCTCTCTCTCTCTCTCTCTCTCTCTCTCTCTCTCTCTCTCTCTCTCTCTCTCTCTCTCTCTCTCTCTCTCTCTCTCTCTCTCTCTTTTTTAATCGTATTAACTGAAATATCGTAACTCTTTGAGGATTAAAATGACGGAGGAAAATCAAGGTAAGTTTAATCGATTCTATTTTTTATCTCTCTTTTTTCTCTTTATTATTCGTTTTAACAAGACTGACGCATCAAGAAATTAACTTTCTGATCGTATCTTTTTTAATATTCCTCCTCTTATCTTCATTATTTATGCAAATGAATTCTGACGTTTTTAAATTATTCTTATCGGTAATAAAAATAATTTGGAAATTATGCGTGTATAATACACATGTAATATAAAATTTACTTATACTTGTACGATCTTTTGTTTCAAACATTTACTTATAACAAATCATAAAAATTGTCTTTGACAATAATTTTATTTTTATTCATAACTTTATTGCGTTCAAAGCTCATTAATTCCGTTATAATGCTGATCAATTAACATTACTGAATAAAGTAGTATCATGGTACGAAGGTGAAGATTTAAAAAATGACAAATTTATAGAAAGAACGATAAGTTGCATTAATAATGACATGTCCTATTGAATTATATCCTGCTTCGTCAAATAATCATATTGCATTTCCTTGTTTAATAGTTAGATAAGATAAGATGTCATATGGAGATTTCTTTAGAAACGAAAAACCTTAATACAATTAATACTCGCTAACATTTTTGATTGATTTATCTGTAGGATTAGTGTACAATACATACGTATTTATCTGCGTAAATGTAAATTGAATGCATTAGAAATTGTAAGATCATTATCAGTTAGATTTTCCATTCATTCTTTATAAAAATTTATAAAAAACACCAAACATATATATACAGAGAGAGAGAAATTTACTCGCGTGTATATGCACATAAATGATTTAACCTTAAACGTGGACACCTGTGTTTTTTAACTAATTTTAGACAGTAGCGCCACGTATAGTATTTCGAGAACATTAACCTTTCTTACTTGACTTTAACCCAGCATATTTAGCATTTCATATTTTCTAAACATGCTACCAGGTAGCTCTTGAATTCTACAAATTAACCTTATTACAAATTATTATTATTATCGTTGAGAGAGAATTATATTTTTAAAATGGGATTATGTATTATTATCTATTGAATTTGATTTATCGAGTGAAATTTAATTTATGATTTTATATAATCAATTATAGAATCAGACGTTTCTGCGCTATGCATCGATGTATCGAAAACCACGCCAGTTAGCGGTGAATTAAAAAAAACTGTAAGTTAAAATTTTCATTATATATTTGGACTGTGATTTTTAATATTTACGATATATAAACTTCCAATATTTATTTTTTTTTTGTTTGTTTTATATATTTTTGTGAATTACGTCCTAATACAATATTTATATTCTCAATCTTTTTATTTTATATAAGATCAAAGCAGAAGTTTCTTGAATGATTAAATATTTAATTTATTATTTGAATTATTACTTATATTAAAATATTAATTTATTATCGTCTTTGCTTGCTCACTGACTTGAAAATTCTTTATACATTTCCTATGAAAATCATGCATTATTGATTATTGTAACATCTTATAAAATATATGCTTCGTATTTTTGATTTTTTCTTTACAATTGGAACTTTAATTTTTGCTATTATATAGCTGCATAAAAAATAATTTTATAATTCTTTTACGTCATTTACTATTTGTTATAATCTAGAAATGTCATATTGATAAGCATATATATGTGTTATATAAATGGCCTAAATAAATATAAACAGTAATAAGTTCACTTCCTTGTTTACATGCTTTATTATGATATAATAATTATTTTTTCTGATTTTTTATCTTCATTAGATTTCATAATTAATCATTTGACCTTTGCACTGATAATTTATATCTATTCTAATTTAGATTTTTTTCTTTAGATGTTCCCTTTAAAATCAAATGCTTTATATAACCATATAAAGCGTTACTGTAATATTGCATATATATATATATATATATATATATATATATATATATATATATATATATATATATCATCATCATTGCTTCTATTTATCTCCTTTGAAACTTGATATTTCAGTATTAAAGAGTACAGAAATTGTAATATTAGGATTAAAACAGTATTGTTATATATGTATTGCTCTCTCATGAAAGCTTTCATTCATTTCATAGAAATCTGAAAATATTTCATCATTTGCGTTCAGAACGCATGCCTATTTAATATATTTATAAAAATAATAAGAATAAAATTTATATGATCTTTGTAAATAGTGTCATCTGTTCTAACCTTAAAGTATCATTATAGTCGATTAGTAACTTATATTTGGATATAAGTGATACTATTGATAATATTATTGAAAAGTCTTCTTTCTTGTATAAGGTATTAATTAATGCTAAAAATAATTATTGCAAAATTGAAACACATAAATAATTAAATGTGCTTAACGAAATGCATCCTTCATTCATGTTTTCATATTAAAACACGAATACAATTAAATCCAAATAATTTTAATTATTTACATTGTAGACATTCATTTTATAGAAAATTGTTTGTAAGGATTTGTTTAAATTCATTGGTGAAAAATATGTTCCATATACAGCCTAGTATATTTCTTGTTTTTATAATTTTTTAAAGTTTTATAATTTTATAACTGATGTAATTTGGTAAAATGATTAAATATTAATAGATTGGAAAGGTAGGTATAAAAGAAAGGATTTAATTAATATCATTTGAATTATAATGGTGATAATGCATGATTGGCTATCTGACTAGTTTCCAGGTATTTCTACAATGTGTGGTATTTTTGAGTTTTGTTCCATCATACCATCCCTGGCTTATCTATTTTGTCTCAGTGATTGGTCTTCAAGGGTGCAACATATTGCTCTACATATTGCTTGTGATACTTATTTATTCCAGCGGTATGGTTATTGGTTTCTCATATCATCATAGTTTTATAATCAGAAGGAACGGTGAAGGTTTTAATCAAAAATATTTATCCTCTAAAGTAAATTGCATAATCTCTGTCAGAGATGGGCTATCGCAGTTATTTTTATAATTCATCAATCAACTAATTATTACTTTCATTTCTAAATAAATATCGATCAATGTCATATTTATCAGCTATACATTTTCCTATTTTTGTTTGTTGTTGCTATACAAAATGTCAATTAACGTTCTAGCAATTTTCTTCGATTTTATTTGTATTATTATTTTATAATCATCATAATGATGTTGAAATTGTTTAATGCAAAAGATCAATTTATAAATATACTCGATATATACCATATGTACGTACAATACATTTGATTTGCAATTGTTTCGTTTATATGTGTATATATGTATGTCCTACATGAAATTATAAAAGTAATTCTTAATAAGCTTCAAACTAATTAGTAATTATATATAATATATATATATACACACATTTTTAATTATTAATTAGTTTATAACATAAATCCAGTTGTGTCCATTTTTGAACATTGCCATGCATTCCTCATAAGTTCTTATTGATTTCGGTTTTTTTTTTTTTGTGAGGTTCACATCTTAAAATTATAATTTTGTAACGAAATGTCGCTAATAATATCGCTAACAAAAAGAAAACTTTTTAATTCACCAGTCCTTTCGTATTATTTTTAAAAAGAATATACAGAGCGGGAAATTTAAATGGGAATACCTGAATATGTTTGTTATTATTTATGAATTCATGTAAAAAATTATTAGTATCTTTAAAAATGTATTTTCATATATTCATAAGTATCAAAAATATTTAAGTATTCTCAATGTTCAAAATCCCTTAGTAAAATATTTAATAAAATATTTTTACAATTATACTACAGTTTTTATTTATTTATTTTTTTTTATATATACATTTTTTTATATGATTTTTACGAGAAATGTTGTTATTTGATTTTATATTAAAATAAAAATATATAAAATAAACGAGATCTATACAAACAAAAGAAAAAACTATGATTTTTGTGAAAAGAAAAAACTATAATTTTTGTGAAAAGAAAGAACTATGGTTTGTGTTTGGTAATGAATAAATCATAATAAATCTTAATTATTGTTTTTAGAAAGAAGAAAATGAAATTGATCCTGAATCAGGTAAATGGACCCCTTTATTGGTCTTGGCAGGAGCTACAAGTTGTCTGGGTTCCGCGTTACCAGCTGGATACAGCTTAGGTGTATTAAACAATCCTGCAGAGGTCAGTATTATATAATTATTATTTATTCTGATAAACTACTTATAATGTGTTTAAATTATAATTCGAACATTATAGAAATAATAAGGAAATAATCATTATTTTTGTATTTTAGATAATTCAGAACTTTTGCAATCAAAGTATTATCGAAAGATATGACATACAATTGACTCATAACGAGATGATGATATTATGGGCTACCATAGTATCAATATTTTTAATTGGTGGAGTAACTGGATCTTTGGTAGCAAGTTGGTTAGCGGATAGATTCGGAAGAAAGGGAGCATTGATGACTGGAAATATATTTGGAATCGTAGGTGCTATTCTCTTTCTCCTTGTACCAACATTAAATTCTGTTGAATTGTTACTTATAGGCAGACTAATTGTTGGTAAGGATAATTTTTACGCGATATCTAAAAGTACTTAATAATAGCCTATAAAATATATATATATATATTTTTTTTTTACATTAGGTCTGTCAGGAGGATTAGCTACTAGTTTATTACCCATGTATATGACAGAAATAGCACCTCTTAAATTAAGAGGTGCTGTTGGAGTACTATGTCAATTAGGCATCACATGTGGTGTGTTTCTTGGACAAATTGCAGGACTTGATACAATGTTAGGTACTGAAGAAAATTGGCATATCATGTTAGCAGGATTTTCACTTTTATGTGCAATTGCGCTACTTCTTACCTTTGTACTGCCAGAAAGTCCAAAATATTTATACATAATTAAGGAACAACAGAGTAAAGCTCTTAAAGGTCAGTAATTTAGTTAATACCAATAATGAGATAAGAAAAAACAATTATAAATTAATAATATAAAATTATATTTCAGAGTTAAGTCGTCTACGTAATATGGATATTATGTTATTACAAAACGAAGTTGCTGGTTTACAACACGAATTCGTGACCAAATCCTCGGCAGATAATTGGACGATAGGTCGTATATTAAAAGAGCGCAGTGTTAGATTACCTTTACTCCTAGTATGTTCTCTTCAATTTGGCCAACAATTAACTGGTATAAGTGCAGTATTTTACTATTCGAGTTCGATATTTAAAGATGCAGGATTAGGAACTACTGGATCACAATATGCTACTCTTGGAACTGGCTTCGCTAATATTGCTATGGCTGTGATATCTGTTCCTGTTATGTCATTATTTCATAGACGAATTGTGTTATTAAGTAGTTGTTATTTGTGTATCGGATGTCTCATCGTTTTATGTACTTCCATAGCTTTAATCGTAAGTTTATCTTATAAAACTATTTATACTTCCTTTGCGAAAAAAACATTGATTTCTATTACTTGCTTGATTGTTACAGCATACAGTTTCATTTATGCCATGGGTATGCATAGTGGCAGTAATGTTTTATGTCATCTTTTATGGTATTGGCCTTGGTCCAATTCCTTTTTTTATTGGGTCAGAATTGTTTGATGTTGGACCCAGACCTGTTGCAATGTCTCTTGGAAGTGTTTGTAATTGGGGTGGTAATTTTATTGTTGGAATGTTATTTCCAACGATGCAAGAATTACTCGGCCCTTACACCTTTCTTATCTTTACAGGATGTATTTTACTTCTAGCACAATTTGTTGGGTACATTGATAAAAAAATTTTTGTTTTTTACAATATTACCATTTTAACATAAGTAAATATTTAACTCGTACTTACATATAATATTAATTAAATTTGTTTGATTGCTTTTAGATTCTATTTGCCAGAAACACGAGGTAGAAGTACTATGGAAGTTGCAGCATCTATTACGCAAGGATTGAAATCAAGGGTAAATGCAAAGCCCGTTTAGATAGTAAATTTCTAAAATTTTTGAACGTGATGATTAATAAAAAAAGACGATCTATGTTATATAAATGGTTTACTCCATAATCAATAACGTTACGGATAAAGTAAAGTATTATAAAAAGCAATCATGAAGGCAGTGGAATCATGATTTATTTGCATGTTATATCATTTGTTTTATATACGAATTGTGTAATTTTTGACGGAAAAAATTAACTTATTTTAATTGTATATATTTACATGAACATGTACACAATCTACATTCCCATTGTATCCAGTACAATGGATTATTTATATAAATTTAATACGTTTTACGTTCTCATACCGTCGTACAATTGATCTAATTTCTTATAGAATACTAAACATAAAACTGTGTGTGGTGCTATTCTCATCCACGTTGGGAAAGTTCCTTTATATAAGCCATATAAACCTTCTGTTCTTATTATTTTAACCAAAGCGTCGTAGAGTCCATTATAGAGCTCACCTTTTCCACCTTTTGTTGCTCCTGTAAAATTCATAAATGATCAACCATAATTGTAATGGAATGAAAGTGCATACATGTACGTGCTTACTTTGATTGTACAATCTTGTTGCCAATACGTCAAAAGGTTGCATAGTGACAGCTACACATGATCCACCGATTAACGAAGAAACGAAAGTTAAAGTTATAGGATAATCTGTAAGTATCTGAAAACGCAAAAAAAAATCATTGTAATTGACATAACTTCGCCATACGATTGCCCACCTAATACACTTACATTCCAAGAACGTAACAAATCTGAGACCAAACTGAACGTAGTTAACTGCGTAGACGATCCAATAAATAATCTAGGTATATTGGCATACCAGCCACGATATAGCGCAGTTATGCCACCTTGCTTCCAAAGTTTTATAAATGCTGACAACGTTCCTGTATGACCGTGTTGATAACCAACGGCAATAGATTGCGCGGATTGAGCTTGAATTTGTGTCTTGACCTGACATCAAGATTTTAATTGATTAAAATAAATTCTTTGGTAATTTATCATTATGAACGTGTGATGATTCGTGATGAAATAAAAGAAAGAATATTATTTCAATTGGATACAATTGTGATCTCAAAATGATTATTTCTTATTACTGATCATCAACTAACTTTAACGTGATAAGCGTAGAAATATAGGAGCTGAATTTTGCACATATTTCCAATATATTACCAAGTAAAATGGGCTACCGAGAACGCCCCCTAAGCAACCAGACAATCCTGTGATGAGTACAGTTTTCAGGATATCCGTATTTCCTTTACTATCCAGTATGAAACCATACTTTGTTGCGGTGTTATAAACACCTAATCGTATACCATTGAGAACGACCTGAAAATATAACGCTGGTGCAATACCAGATTGTAAAGCTAAAATTCCTTCGTGTTTAGCTATGAGATAGGCAGCATGAAACGTATTTTTATATATCTTTTTGTAAGCTCCCCTCGCTTCGAGTTCTCCTTGGAGCTGCAATCGTATCTTAATAACATCCGCTGGATTAGTAAATAATCCAGCGCCCGCAGCCGAAATTGCTCCTATTACAAATTCCGCTCCGAGTCTAGAAAGAAAAACAAAAAAAAAACAAAAAAAAAGATAGATAATAACAATGTAAAGAAAACATAAAAACTTACAGTTACAGTAAGAAGACCAAAAATTAATTTATAAACGATCGAGAACCCGCGTTTTAACGTGACCAATGAACGAATAGCCGGTCTCCCACGTTAATCTATTCTGATTGGTCGTAATATAAGCTCGATATTGAACGAAATACAACACGGAATCGAATCGAAAATAAAATCATAGTTTATTATTGCATAACCGGTGTACGTTTTCGATCGATTAGCAAAACCACGAGTGTATTACTCTCGTAGTTTCTAGGCTTGCCAAACGCGAAGAAGTATATTTTTGTAAATCGCTCACGGTTTCTCCGTTTCGATACTTGGTACAGTGAGGTTTTCGGCGGTAGCCATGTTGAAGAATAAAAAGTTAAGTTCACTTGGAAGATGTGTATATAATGTGTAAGCCAAACGCACGCGTTCAGAAAGGAAACTAAACCGAAGAGAGACTAAAAGAAAAAATATTTAGATGACGAACTAAATCTATGATTGCAACACACTAAATTCTATCGCGCAGCGCTTTATATTTACGTCATTCTCATATTAGATATTGATTATTATTTACTTAGATAATCGTTAAGAACAAATTTATCTTTATATCTATGTACATTTGATTTATATTGATTTATTACGGGAAATATTCTATGCCAATTATATTATTACTTTGTATAATTCTTTACAGCACGATATTAATTATAAAGGTCGAGATGAGATAATTAAGTTGAATTCAACAATCAAATGATATAGAAATTTAGAAAATCTTACAATTTCATAGTCACAGATATATCGATACAGATGTATCGAAAAAAAGTTCAAAGAGTATAACATTCCTTTGATATAAAGGATAAATACATAAAAAGAAATAATAATAAATGAAAAAAATTTACATGTCCTTTTCGAAAATATGTATTTTCTATGGGAATTATTTAAAAAAAATATACACGTCTCTCGATACGATCAACGCTTAAATATAAATCTCGCAGACATTATCTTATCCTCGATCGTTTTTATTTTTACTTTATTTTTTTTTATTCATTTCGAAATAATATAAAATTTAAATAGTGAAGATCGATCGATCAATTGATCGACCATTCATCATTTAAGGTAAATGACGTGATATTATTACATTCGTATATTAAATCATATTCGGAAAGTAACAATTCTAATTTTTATTTATCTTCTACAATTATTTTATGATATGCTATATATATACATACATACATATATACATATATATATATATATATGTATACATATATATATGTGTGTATATATATATATATATATATATATATATATATATATATATATATATATATTGATTACAATTTTAATACTTAAGATACCAATAATGTGTGATAGATTACACATAATAGGATTAAAACGATACAAAAGCTCGTTTAAAACTAACATCTAAGTAGACGCAACATAAAAAAAAAAGAAAAAAAAAAGAAATAAAAACTATAGACCGATTGTCAAGTTTTAATATCCATAAAAATTACATGTATATAATTACATGTAGGACTCGTGTATATTATACTTTACACCCTTGGAAACTGTTTTATTTTTTTACTTTTTATTTATTTCTTTTTTTTTTCTTTTGTGAAATGCACTCCTTCCGACAAAAAAATAATATAGCTTGAAAGGGTGAGTAAATATATACTTTGGCGAGGCATATAACGCAAGTATATGATTTACAGTGACACGTTGAAAAAAAATTCGTGTAAAGCGGGAGATAAAACATTTTTTTTTTTTGATAATATAAATTAAAGGGCTTTTGCATTTAGTGTAAATGACGAAAAAAAATGTCTACAGATCGTTTATGTATTTTCTTTGGCCTATAAGTTTTCTTATATAAATCTAAGAAAACTGTTACGCCTGTGTGAGATTAAAAGCGCTGCGTTGTTTTATATGTATACTTACATATGCATATATTATGTATTTATGTATGTATATATGTATGTATGTATGTATGTACGTACGTATCCGTAAAATAAGGGTTCGGTATTTCAAATTTGCAATACCCGTAAAATACATAGCTCGCGCTATGTATATGTTCACTCTTTGAGTTTCATAATAACAACTTGAAATTTGTTGCTTTTCAGTTCGCGTAAGATATTGTCCCTTTACGCTTAAACATTTTTATGTGTACATATTTATGAATGTACAGTAAGATCGTGTAAAAATGCCCTAATATTTCTTACAATGCATATATATATATATATATATATATATGTGTGTGTGTGTGTGTGTGTGTGTGTGTGTGTGTGTGTGTGTGTGTGTATGGAAATATAACAAGAGGTGTGGGGGATAAGCAACTTAACGTTCAGACATTAAACATCTTTCTTAATTTCAAAGATGATAGATAAAAGTTGATACAAAAGGAGAACGACGCTATGGTATTAAAATAAAAATTATCTTTCGAAAAGTTCTCCTTTTCTAACTATATTAAATTCTCGCAATAATTAAAGAATTTTCGGTATCTTCCCAAAGAAGAATGATGTTTGAGATAGAAACGTAGGATATATCATCCCTTTCTGTATTATTATATGCAACAAATTTTTCTAAAGCGCTTCACGATCAATCATGTATATATGCATTTTTTTTTGTACATATAACAGATCTGCCCAATCATAAATTTTTGGAAGCACCATATACCTCGCTTTTATTCGAACTTTTTACATCGCACCAATATTTTTTTTTTTTTTGCTTTTTTTCATTCACTTCAAATATCTTTCTAAGTACTTTCGCATTATCACTTGACGTATTTTTATTATCATTTAAAGGAATGCTAATATATAAGGCATATTTTGATCTCTGACACATTTGCATAAAATGTAAAAGAGGTGGTTTAGATAAACGTTCTTTCAAATATTGTCAACATCTTGTCGTAAATAAATTTAGATCCTATTTTAATTCGACAAATAACGTAACGCCACCAGTAGCCAGTAATTTATTCGAATAATTTACTATTCATGTCTTAGCAAGACACGATTTAGGATTCTTGAATGATTATAGTCGTTATTGCTGTGTTGATTATTACGAAAGAATATTCATTAAGATGATATTATGTCAATAATACGATGAATATCGAAAGAACGTTAACCATATATAATATATAATATATTCATAAAAAACGTAGTGCTAAAATTCTATGTAGGAATTTATTAGGAACTCCTCAGTAGTAAATATCATTAAATAGGATTAAACTCACGAAAAATGCCTAAAATGAAGGCAAAGTGTCGCGAGTCTTGATAATATTATCGACTGAGCAGACCTTCTTTTATAGATTTCGTATAGTTTGTGTATATGTCTCTATGAGTCGAGAATTTGAATGTTGTGTTCCGTGTACGTACGTTTATAGATGTGCGCACGTGTGTGATAGATACATTATGAAGATACATCATCGATTACCGTTAGGTACATTCGCCGAAATTCTTTGATGTACATCGTCCGAAGAAGAAGGAAAAAAATTAGTCAGTTGGGACGATAGTCATCATCAATGATGGGCAGCCAGCTGCCGTATACAATGTGTCGCCTAAACGCCTCCCTCCCTCCCTCTCTCTTTCTCTCCCTTTCCCTCTTTCTCCCTCTCTCTCTCTCTCTCTCTCTCCCTCTCTCCCTCTCTTTTTCTTTCTCTCCCTTTCTTTCTCTGTGTCTCTGTCTGTCATTACCGAAAGTAGAGCAGTTAGGATCTTGCTGCATTATAAAATGGTCGTTATCACGTGCGTAGAACTTTCCCTTTCCTTCTGAATCGATCTTCCAAATATCCTGGGATCTGAAAATAGTTTTACATCGGGGATTACAGGGCGTCATGTCGGTGGGGTGGACAAAATAAGACATGGACCATCTATGGCTCCAACATATGAACGTAAGAAAAAAATCACGTTATCACTTTATTATTATCAACACTATCGTCGTAAATTTAATCTTTGTTTTTATCTAAATTAGCTGTAATAGCTAGCGAGTGAATCGTAGATAATAAGATCATTCAATGATCGTTTATAACATTTTCTAATAATAAATGAAAAAAATGTTTCCCTCGCCGTCATTGACATCGTCGTAAGTAAAAAAATATGGAGTTACATGCATCGTGCATATTTGAAGAAAAATGAAGAAGAATCTTTTTATATTACATCGGTGATACAATATCATTTCGCATTGGAAGAGGCTCCATTTCGTTATGTCAAAAGCTTTTCTTAGCCATTCATATTCGAAGCAAAGCGCTCTATTTGCCATTTATCTAATGTAGAAACGTTATCATCGTGGCATCGATTTAGATAAACATTCTAAGAAACTTTCTACATTCTTGCTGCACTCTCTTCCTAAAAATGATGCTCGATGGTCGAAGAGTGAGTGTTATGATAATATAGTAACTGGCGATAGATAACGAGATTATAAAAGAGAAAGTATGAGACTGCACCGAATAATACGACGTACGTTTGTAATGATACATATCATGGGGGGGGTGCAGTATTTGGGCGGGTAAAGTCTGTTGGAGCTTGGTGAGGGGGTAATGGCGATGGGGGGGGGGTTCAATAGGGTCATTACATACTACTTATTTGATAAAATAATCATTATCTTTGGATATATTTTACATTAGTGTACAGTACAATCGTAAAGTATGTACGATCACAATAAAATGCTTAAGCCCTAAAAAATATGCCATTTTAATTGAATAAAATGCATGCGACGAAAGAGAGTTTAGTTCTTAAAAAAGCCATTCGAATATCAGAGGGTATCAGGCTTAGATCGAAAAAACAAAAAAAAGAGAGATAAAGGGGGTTCGGGGGGAACGTGGACGATCTCCAGCGTAGGGTTTCCAATCGGAAACTGATAAACCGTTCTGTATCGTTACCGCTAAACAACAGGCAGGCAGGCACTCTGGGAATATTAAAACATAAGCCATATAAAGGGAGATATATATATATATATATAAATATAAAGGTATTTTTATTGGTGCAGTATCCAAAAAGAAAAAATGAAAAAATATTAAGAAAAAAAAAAAAAAACAAATAGCGAACAGATATCGCAACTTAGATATGTTCGTCAATGACAAAAATCAAAGCACCTGGCGTTTTCACTTTCAACTCTCTCATCTTTTCTCTCTCTCTCTCTCTCTCTCTCTCTCTCTTTCTCTCTCTCTCCTCTCTCTCTTTCTCTCTCTCCTCTCTCTCTCTCTCCTCTCTCTCTTATAAACACACAAACACATATTCGTTACAATTTTATTATGATCGGATCTACCTTTGGTTTTGGTCGATGAGTATCCACCGCATCGATTGGTAGTCGTATGTGTTCCACTTTACAACCATATGCAACGGGTGTCAATTTAATGATGGTATGCAATGGTACCTGGAGGTACGGTAGTTCTTCTGTAATCAATGGAAAAACTTCATTATTTCCTCAATCTTTGAAAAAAAGTTCAGGCTTTTTCATATAAAAATTTGCGAAACATTTGCTTATGTACTACAGTTTCTCTGTAATCAATGGAAAAATTCCATTATCAGTTCAACTTTCGGAAAAAAATTTTTGCCCTTTCGTATCAACATTTGCAAAACATTTGCTTATGTATGATAATTTTTTTGATTGATGATTTTTTTGATGAATGAAATAATTTCTCTGTAATCGATGAAAGAACTCTATTATTAGTTCAACTTTTGAAAAAAAAAAGAAAAAAAAGAAAGAAAAAAACAGACTCTTTCGTATAAAAATTTGCAAAACATCTGATTACGTGTATAAACAAATACGTATAATTATTTATCTATCAGCGTAAGGTCATGATGTATATCGAACGTCACTTCTTACGAATATAGTAAAATAACATTAACCAGATTATCCATTGATACAAGTTTTTTTTGCTACACTCGAATGTACTCGTCAAAGATCAAAAGTTAAAGAATAAAATATTATCAAAAGAATATAAATTTTTCCTTTATAAAAGAAATAAATTTTTCCACTAAAAATATATTACGCAATTTAATTGCGTGTTTGTGAATTAAGCAAATATAAAAAGAAATGAAATATTTTGCTCGCTTTCGGATTATCGCAAGAAATGCGAGATAATTGTAACGCTAGAAACATAGAATGCGAATGAGGAAAAGGATTGAGTAAAGAAAAATGAATAAAGTGCAAAAATATATAATAGAGAATCGTACCTGAACTCTTATCCAAGAAATAAGCGAGCAGACAACGTAATACCGCTTGATGACTGACGACCAAAACATTGCCTTGCCTTTCCAATTCCATTATCACGGGTTCCAACCGTGCTACCAAATCCTCATAGCTCTCACCTCGTGGATAACGATAGGGGAATTTATTTTGGTCCCTTGCAGCAAAATCCGTAGGATACTTCTCGGCGATCTCTGCATAGGTCATCTCTTCGCAAATTCCCTGATTAGGTAGAGAGAGAGAACGGGAAAAGAAAAAAAAAAGAAAAAGGAATGATAAACGAATGGCACAAATTTAAACGACCATTTTCGCATAATCGCTAAGAAAAAGAGTTAGAGAATAATACGGAATCGTCAGTGCGATACCAAATGATTATACGTCCTGAACATACGGCATCGATCTCATTGAGGGCCTTCCATCTTTCCTGAGGTGCTTCCACATCCCCTGCCGTCTGTATGGTCCTTTTTAACCAGCTTGTCCATACTCTTAGACCCTGTAGACACAAAGTTTCGATCGTATATGAAATGACGAATCATCTATGAGATTAAAAGTTAGAAAAGGAAATGTCACGGATACGAGTCGATGTTGATTTTCGATACTCCCCACCCTCCCTACCCTTTGTAATCTGCTGCTCGATTATTTCTCTGACTTCAGTACCTAGCAAATTTTCCTTCATTTGAGACTTTTTCATAGAAAAAATACTTTAAAATACCAGTTCTTAAATAATTTTCACCCATTAGCATAATGATTTTTTTAATGCGATAAAAAGGAAAAAAAAATAATAAAAGAGAAATGAAAAGAATGCTTTAAACATGGGTGTGGCATAACTCGATCGAAGCGTCGCTCAGAGTGACTAACACATAATGAATTGAATGTTGAAATAACATAAACCTGAATATCCTGACTGGTAATGAAGGTAGCTAATGCCCTGGCGTACTCCCAACCTCTTTCACTAAGATCCGAGTCACCTCCTATTCTACCTTCCAGATTCATCATACTCTCGCCATGCCTGGTTAGATATATCGTACGAGGTACAATGTGAATGTTCATCAAATAGTAGACGATCCTGCTCTGTATGTGTCCCTCGTGTTTGTGCACTATAACTTTTTCGCCGGTGTTATAGATTTTCATAAAGGACAGATCAGTCTCATAATCCTCATCCAGTGGCTCATATTTTTCCCTATAATGTTCGATCCGCAACATAAAATCGGCCAATACTTCTTCCTTGTTCATATTCGCATAATCTGGACTGCTGACTTTGACCTAACAAAGAGATACGTATAAAAGATAGAAAAAAATTGTAATTGATTAGAAATTATTATTTTGATATTAGAAGAAGTTATCTTTTAAGTCTTTTTATGACTGTAATACTATATCTTTTATTATAAGTACTTATTTTTCTTCGTATTTAAATGAAAAATGATCTGTTGATTATGACTAACATATATTAATACGTATCATATTTATCGTACGTATTATACGTATTATACGTATCATAAAAGTTTTACCTCCATAATATTTTGCTCGACTATCTCAGGATCGTTACAAACAGATTCGACGAAGAAGAGCTTGTAATCCATCTTTCCTACAACAATATCGTGTATCATTTTACGTCGATCCACGGTAGAATTGGTAGCATCGAAAACGGCAACTTCTCCGTCGCCACTCTCGAGCCAACGACAAACGTCGTTCAATGCATCCATGGCACATTGTGTTCTTATCGCCATAGCTTTTATGTTATCCGCACGGAAAAATTCGTGGCATTGATAGGCAGTCGTCGCATGCCTTCTATACTCGCCGAGATTGAAGACCTTCGTGTTTATTCCGATCCAATTGAGATACCTGCAGAGCTTCTTCGAAATATAAGTCTTGCCTCGAGCTGGCAAACCCACCATCGCGATTACATGGGGCTTGTTTACGAAATTTGCTCGTTCCCCTATAAAAAATTAAACAAACAAGAAACGAATGGAATTTTTCGATTTCGTAATTTATTACACTTTTACGATCATCTCCGATATTTCTCAGGTCATTTTGGAAAAAGAAAAGAAGAAAAAAAATTTCAAAAAATTCATACAAAATAAAATCTCTACTTATCTTTTTACAACACGACCATATTCATAAGTCAACAAAACTAGTGATAATAATAACGATGATATAAATTTTCCAAGGCTAGCCCGGTCAAGTGAGACATCAATGTTATCGTGTTCGATATACATGGACTCACTGCATCAGAAATATGCTAGCATAATTTATCATAGGAAATGTATATATATTACGAAAATGCAATAAAATATATAGTCTGATGACTGGAGACTTATTTATTTTTTTTTTTTGGTTTATGATTAAACCAAATGATCTCACATCTCGACAGATTGTATTTACCCTAATAATGTCTCAAGAAATCCATTGAAATAATTTATTTTTATTAGTTATCGTGATAGTTGTCACAACCTACAATGCAAATGTTTGCAAAAGTATCTTCGTAAAATTTACGAGTATTATATAGCACTAATATAAATTTAAATATACGAAGAAACATACAACAAAGATTCCTAGAAAAACGAACAATTATTTATATCTCGTTTTCGTATGATACGATAAAAGCTCATTAAACTGGTATAAATAATTTTGAAGAAATATTTACCCAAATGTATTTTATCGTAGAAAAAAAATCGTCTATCAAATATAAAGGAATTTATATCATTGTGATCCCAAGTGTCTTGATCAGTGAGCTTTAAAATTGATAATCGTAATTTAAAGTATATCACAATGATATAGGTATATAAAATAATACCAATAATTAGCAAATATCATACACTTGTCGTATTATATATGTTGATAAAACAATATTGATCGAATTAACACCATATCATTGACGTAATACTAGATATACTTGAAAGATACTTGAGATTAAGATCGAGAAAAAAGGAATTTGACATATAAAATTTCAGATACTAATAAATGTCATTTTATTAAAATCTTCCATTTTTTTCTCTTTTCTTTTTTTTTTATATACGAATAATATAATATTTATAATTTGTAACGTTAAAAAATAATATTTTCATTGCCAATGTCTATCGAAGCATCTTAACGACGATATTCAACAATATCCGACTACATTCTTCAATTTTCACCAATTTTCTGCTTTTGCTTATGACTTGTCTAACAGAAAAGTATGAACAAGACTTACAAGAAACTGAACAGGATTCACGAAAGGGGAAGGAGCAATCATCAAACGTTTACTAATCGTTCAAAGGTAATAACAATAGAAAAATAATATTTATGCATGTACTTTTACTGCTAACGTTTGGACGATCAACCAAAACAATTGGAAATAAAAAAAGTAAGATTTAATTTACGAGTGACAATTTGCGGGAATATTGTCTCGTTGAACTTGATGGGAGCGTGGCGCGAAATCGTGTCTATTTTAAACGCTACTTCCTACCTTCTCGTCTCGCAACTTAATAAACGAGATTAGAGGTGAATTCGATCGGATTTTCGTAGGTCGTGCCAACGATTCTTCTTTTATCCCCCTCCCCAATCGTCTTAGTTTATCGTGCCTTCTCCCTTTGCTATCCTTTATTTCTCTCTCTCTCTCTTTCTCTCTCTCTCTCTCTCTCTTCCTCTCTCTCTCCCCTTCTCTTCTCTCTCTCTCTCTCTTTCTCTCCTTCAAACTTTTATTATTCTTCATGACACAACCTATGTAAATACGTACGTACGATTTACGTTACGTCGTCGTACTTCCTTACGTCCTTGCGTATTTGCGTCTTAAAATCTCGTCGTTTCTTTCGACGAATATCTTATAAAAGGTGCGCGCTCGCGTAACATATATCGATTTTACTTGGTGACCAAAGAAAATGAGATAAATAAAACAAAACAAAAAATAAAAATGAAGAGGAAGAAAGACAGAAAGACAACAAAAGGCGGATATGTATCGTACGTGTATCTTTTGCAGGTTATGTTCCGCACGAAAGAGCCAAGATTGAACTGTCAAAGCAAAAACGAGAAGGAAAGAACTCGATGGGGAATAAAAGTAAAGAAAGATGGGTAAAAGTGTAAGAAAAAGAAGCAGTTGAAGAATACGCTTGTATTATCAGATTTGTGATTTAAAAAAAAAAATCGTCCCTTTTCCTTCTTTCTCAAAAATTTTCTATCATATATTTCTTGTAAAGTGCCTAAATTACGTTCGTTAAGATAGATATCATTTAATTAACGGAAAGAAAGAAAGACATAAGAAATAATGAGAAAAAAAGCATGATACCTCGAATCGGAAAAGGTTTCGTCTGTTTCGAAGTCGGTGGCGTGTAGTGCATCTCATTTTTCGGATCGTTCATCCTAGATTTCCAAAGTTTCCTATGTCACAAAACGTAAACGCTTTTCGAACAAAGAGACTATACTACTCCCGATTCATCCGTCCGGCTACGCGGTACAGAACGATGTGGAATAGAAACAGAAAACACGGGTAGATAGACAGGGAGAGAGAAAAAGAGAGGGAAAAAGAGGGAGAGCGAGAGAGAGAGAGAGAATGTGTGTGTGTGTGTGTGTATAAAAGAGGAGAGAAGTGAAAAAGTTCAGAACTGTCACACTAACTCGCGGCTACAATATCATCAGACTGTCATATTCGTACTATGTTTTTCATTTCGACATAACGTCCATTATCCTGTGTCTTTTTGGATCATCGAGGTATCGTTAGTCACGCGATCATCTTATTTTGTTATCAAGCGATTGGTGAACCCGACTGAAAATTAAAGCTTTACCGTACTCGTTATGAAAGATCGAATGCGAAGGCATATGTCTTCGTCGTATATGTATTTGGACATTTTATCGAATCGAATCGAATGTAAAATCGAAAGAGAGAAAAAAAAATATTAATATGAAACGTATTCTGTTAGAAACGAAAAATATAAACCATGGATTTTATAATATTTCGATTATTAATTATTCGATTATGTCGATTAGTATATAAGATGACTCGAAACGATTAATAAGCGATACATTCAAACGATTTTTGACTAATAACGATAATGTTCTTCTCGAGCAGAATTATGTTCTAAAATTTAATTAATTAATTTGCATAATTATTTCAATAGGATTTTTAAAGTGTTTTAATTTAATAATAATTTTTTTTGAAACTCAATGATTTGTCTGTTGGGAAAATTCAAAGTTCATTAGTAAGTGCTGACATATTATGTATTTTTACTTTGCGTTTAACATTTTTATTTACAATTAATAATCCCATAATTAGTTTTATAAATATATATATATATATATATATATATATATATATATATATATGTATTGTACATTATTATCATTACAGCATGAATCTTTTATAAATTAGGTTAGTTTTAAATAAATATTAATATTATATAAATAAATAAATATAAATATGTATTATATTCTACATAAATATTTTTATTTGTTATGCTTTTCGAGAAATGAATTAATAACTGTTACTAATGCTTCTGCATTAGTAAGATGAATATGATGTTTACCTGGTATAAAGTAATATTGACAATCTTTACTACTTTCTTTTAAAATATCTACAATATCGTAATAATACCTCAAATCTTCCATATACATTTCTTTATCAGATTGTATAATTAAATATGGACATTTTATATATCTGGCCATTTCTTTTAATTGTTCGTGCGACCAACAAGTATAAAATGGCCCAATTCTTAATCTTGGGTCTCTATTTATGTAGACCGTTCCATCAGACATTTCTGTGACACCTCTAGTCATTAATATTTCGCATGCATTTACAGTTAAAGACTTAAAAGCAGATTGAGTCCATTTTTTTATAAGTTCTTCTTTTTTATAAACAGGTGGTTTATTTTCCATTTGCTCTATTATAAGAAATTGCTTAATGTTTTTTGATAAAGTGCGTTTATAATCTGGAATAGTTGTAGACAAAGGTTTCAAATGATCAAAGCTTATTACGTAATCTGTTTCATCTGAATACAGTGAAGCATAACAAAAACATATGTGACTACTTAAAGAATGTGCCAATAATTTTACTTTTTCCCAGCCAAAATATTTTTTTAATCTATAAATTAAAGATATATAATTGATCTCTAAGTATATTTGTCCTTGAGGTAACCAAGAAGATAAACCATGACCAGGCAAATCAATTGCAAGTATCGGTTCATGTTTCTTAATCAATGGTATTAAATTATCAAACGTAGCAGCATTATCTTGCCATCCATGGAGTGCCAAAATAGGTTGTTTACTTTTATCATTACCCCATAGTTTGCCTTCAAATAAAATAATCTATCACTATACTATTTATATTTAATCTATTAAAAACTTACCTGATATTTTTCCCCAGGGTACTGTAATTTCTACGTTACTGACATCTTTATCTATAGGTTCCATTTTACTATATATACTCCTTTGCAATACAGGATACAGGTTATTTGCATTGTATTTGAAAAATTTATATATAACGACTATTGTTTTCCAATTACCAAAAAATCGGCGATCCATGTCCCCGTATAAAGAATTATATTAATTTATGTCAAAAGCTAACTGTAATAAATAATAAAAATAAAAACTGTATTTTTCTTCCTCTTTCTTTAAAAACTAAAGTGTCTACGCAACAAAATGTTTTTTTATCTTATACACATACAAAGTAGTAGAAATTATATTTACATATATTATCACTTTATACATATAAATTAATGCTAATATATTAAAATAAATATAAGATTTTTTTACATTTTATTAATATTTAAACAAATTTATCATTTGTTTAAAATCATAAATTTTTATTATAGTTATTTTGAACAAAACTTTAGATATTTAATCAATTTTTTTTACAAATGTTTTTTTTTTATAAATATATATTTCATTGTAATAAGGTATTAGTTTTTAAATGCGTTTTAAATAAATTTTTCAAATATTCCGGAGTAGAAACATTTAACACTTTTTACTATCTTTATATGGCCACGACTACAAAAGGATTATCAGAAGTAATTACTCATTTATTTTACTTGATAAATAGGATAAGATAATTTTTAAAATTAATATGCCTTGTATATGTATAACTATATGTATATTACACAAAACAATATTATTTTACATAAGTATATTGATCTTTATATTACAAGTATTACTTATAAAAATTAAATAAAATCTTTAAAATATCTAGATATCAATTTTCTTCTTCAATCATTAATTATCAATGATAAAATAAATATGGATTATATAATTCAAGAAACAACTCTGCTAATTAAATTGTTTGTATTAGGTCATAAGTCTATCTATAAGATTTTATTGCACTATTATTTCTAAATATCGTATTACTATTATTTTTTCTTTTTTTATATTTAAAGCAAATATGATAATCATTGCGATATTTTGTAATGAAAAAAAAAATGTAATTGATAATAAAATATATTCATACATAGAATATATACTATGAATATGTCATTTTACATAATGAAATTGCGAGTTTACTGTTGTAGCGCCATCGTATGTCTCATTCAAGAACTATTGTTGATTCACAAAAAATACTGTTTTCTGATTGCGTTTTAGAACGATCTTGAATAATTTCTTTCTATGTAGTATAACCGAGTATAATATTACGTAGGTACATAGTCTATGCTTGTTAATCCGTGATAGAATTCCATTTTGACATGTTTGACATACGATCAACTGTCAAATTTTAAGAATTGTGTAGTGATTTAAAAATAATATAATATGGAAGCAGTACCAAGATTGCCGATGATTTCTTTCTATTTAAAAGTAAGCCCGGAACCTACTACCTTCGGTCCGAAGTTAAAACAGGTACGATTTGTTTATAATTTAAATTATACAACGTTTCTAGATACTTCTGTATTAACTGTCATTTATAAAATATTTATATGATAATGTATAAAAATTTATTATCATTATTATTGTCCATTACGGATGACATGTTTTAAAATTTGTATACATATATTACTGATATCTTTATGTATCAATGAATTAATTGAATTATTGACTTTTAATTCAATACCATAATAAACTAGAAAGTATTCAAAAGTTTGTTTTATCAAATTTCAGTACATACGAGATTTTTATAATGAAGATCCTGAATCATATACAAATGAAATACATCAATTGGAAAGTTTACGTACTATGGCTGTTAGGCCACCTCTTGATATGGCAGGCTGTTTGTTATTAAAAAAGTATTATTGTCAACTACATTTTCTACAAAGTAGATTTCCTATGGGAAAGGACGGTACTGCTGCTGTAACATTTACATGGTAAGAAAAAAATGTCATTATTTATATAAATAATACAAATTAATTATTAATAAGACAAAAAATAATATTTTTCTAATATTGTTTAAATAGGAGAGATACGTATGCAAATATGGTATGCTCATTGGCTAGTATACGTTTTGAAATAATATCAGTTTTATATAATATTGGTGCCATGCACACACAGTTGGGTGCACGTACTGAACGAACCACTGCTGATGGAATGAAAATGGCATGTACACATTTTCAATGTGCAGCATGGGCCTTCGAACATTTAAAGAATAGTTATCCACAACCAGCTGGCGTTGATTTAGCGCCAGAGTTAATGGCATTTATGTATCAGCTTTGCTTGGCTCAAGCTCAAGAGTGTATATTAGAAAAAAGTATGCTTGATAATAGAAAACCAACTATCGTAGGTAAGAGATAATATTTATCGAGAAGAATATATCGATGATCAAAGGTATCATCTATGAGATAATATTTAATTTATTCTAATATAATTTAATATTTAATATAGCTAAAATTGCAAGACAAATTGTAGATTATTATACATCAACATTGAGTACCTTAGAGCAAGGAGGTAGTGAAGATAGTACCATTTCAGACACAGTTGGGACAAAAATATATAAGGTATCGATATATATTACTTATGAATTATTTCATACAATAGCAGATTGGTGCTTGATAAAAATAATATTTCAGAGCTGGAAGCGATATGTCAAATTTAAAAGAGCATACCATTTAGCAGTTACACATCTGTATCAAGGTCTTGCTGCAGAAGAACAAAGGAAAATGGGAGAAAGAGTTGCTTTTTATAATACCGCACTAGCCTCTCTTAATGAAGCACATTTGATTTATAGTATTGCTAAAGGATCTGTAGACGTAACAGTTGTTCCTGACGAGAAGGCTGTAGTTGAGGAAGCGCTTACATTCACGAACGATGTGATTGAAGGTAAAAGGAAAGCTGCAAAAAATGAAAATGAATTCATTTACCATGAAGGAATACCAGAAAAAGAAACACTCACTGTTATCAAGGGAGCATCTCTGGTTAAAGGAATATCTTTTAGTATAAATGATCCAGAAGTTTCAGGACCAGATATATTTGCCAGGTTAATACCTGGATGAATGTTGATAATTTATGATTCTATTCTATTTTTTTCAAAATTTTATATTCGAATATTTTTTTTTTACAGATTAATACCAATGAAAGTACACGAGGCAAATTCACTTTACTCTGAAGAAAAGGCTAAGATATTGCGTAATGTTGGATCAAAGATCGAAGAAAAAGATCTACATTTGAATACTTTTCTATCTTCATTTAAATTAGATCACTTAGATTTATGGGATCCTGATGTTCAAGTTTCCGAATGGGAACTATTACCCCTTCCCGAAGAGTTAATTGAAAGATGTGCTGCTCTTAATGCAAAGAAAGAAATTATTCAAGATTTACTTGATATTATGGGAAAATTAACTGATACCAGTCAGGACGTTGAGACTGTATTAAAGGAAATAAAAAAGTTACTATTTGAAGAAGAGTTAAAGTGAGTAAAATTTGCAATTACAAATGTATAAATCGGATTATCTGATTATATGAATATTTAATTAATGATACAACTCTTATGATTATGCACATTTCATAGGGAGAAGCAGTATCAAGATGCTGTTGGCAAAAGACCACCAACCATTGTAGCGACTGACTTAACAAGGGAATGCAAAAAATATGAAGAGGCTCATAATAAAGCATTAGAAAGTAATCAAGCTCTTCATAAAGCAATAACGACACATGTAAAAAATCTGAAAACACTTGCCCAACCATTAGCAGATTTAATTACTAATGTACCATCCTTAAGTACACATTTATTAGGTAATTATTAAATCTAGATATAAATATTATTTGTCAATAGAGAAATTCACAATGATATACTTTCTTATAATAAATGTAATTTAATTTTGTGTGTGCAGATCAAAGTAGCGATAAAACTCAAAGTATAAATATCGCTGATAAATTGCATGTACAGGAACTGAAACGTATTTTAAATAAGGTCGACGAAATGCGACGACAAAGAAGTGATCTACATACTAAATTAAGAGATTCGATTGCACAGGATGATCTAACACGTTTATTAGTTACAGCGACTACTGAATCAGGTTCTCTCGATCGTCTTTTTTCCGAACAACTTGATAAGCATCAATCATTAGTCAGTATCCACGTGGATTGGTATATTTATAACATTTAAACCTGTGTTATCGTAAAAGATGTAAAAAGACGTAAATACGTATATTTGTAATTTTAGGTAAGTCTTATAGAACAAAATCTTGCTGCACAGGATAATATTTTGGCAGCTTTGACAGATGCATATGCACAAACTGGAGATGTAAGAAAAATTGTGGAGGATGTATTAAAACGAAGAGAATTTATGATTTCTTCTCTAATTGCATCATATGACGCTTATGAAGATTTATTAACAAAAGCTAATAAGGGACTCGAATTTTATAGAAAATTAGAAATAAATGTTTCAAAATTGCTGCAGAGAGTAAAGAGTACGTGCAAAGTTCAAGAGGAAGAACGAGAACAAATACTTGCACAAGACAATAAGAATGTATACAACAAGACTGAAACTTCAACATTGACGAATTATGAACAAGGTCAAACGCGAAATACTAGTGGTTTGAAACTGAAAGATTATTTACACAATAGAACGGATAATATTTCTACTCTTTCGAATCAGTATTACAATCCCCATAAAGGAATTGGAGGTCCGTCACAAATGGATATACTTCCAACAACAAAATCGTATTTAAACAGTACAATTGATAATCATAGTCAATCTATAAGTTCGGTACCAGTGCAAGAAATACAAACGTCTAATATGAAATTAACTCAGCAGTATCAACCTTCTATGTATGTAGATCCAAGAACAGCTCCACATTATGCATATAAACCTCGAACTTCTACCGAAAACCAGGACATGAACGTAGCGATAAGTCAGAATTACGTTCCAACTAAGAAAGAGGAAACACCAAAAATATATCATCAAATAGGAACGACCGCTGATGTAACAAGTAATGTACCATACTCTACAACGTTTTTACCAAACGAACAAGGATATTGTTCACAACTTCCAGACATACAAAATAAGTTTCCTTCTACTTCTGTACCACACTATAGTCAGAATAGTACATTGCATTACAATACTTATCCAATTTCTGTAGAACATGGTGAATCTATGTCATCGCAGGATCCCAATTTAATTAACCGTTATGGGCCTAATCAAGATAAAGCTGGTATAATGATTCCATCAGAAGGTGGTATAGTGTCACAAATGAAAGCAGTGTCACTCAAAGGACATCCTGTATCTAGTACAGCAGTCAGTAGTACTAGGACACTTAATATACAATCACAAATTCCTCAAAACATTATACACCCTGAACAACAATATGCACCAAAAGATGAGGCTAAATCTGTTATTGTCTCAGAATCAAGTCACGATATATACAGACAGAGTCAGAATATATTATCCGCCCAAAGTAATACAGCTATGCAAAATTACGCATATTCGCAAGTTAGTCAAAATAACATACCATATGTCCAGAATTATTCCAGTGTTGGATATAATCAACAGACCCCTAGTCATAATGCGTGCGGAACAACGGATTATGCGGCATCAATGCCATATGTACAAGTGCAGCAATCAAGCACGGCTGTACAATCCACACAGCCTTCTACGTCAATAACACCAGCATCAAATATAAGCGAAGTTCCTGTT